AAATATTAACTTTGAGGTAATATAGATCCTTTAACATTTTGATAAAAAATTTTCGAATAGAACCTGATTCCTGATTTTTTGTTCGTAATTTCAGAATACCCTGTATATAAAACTGAAAGATCTTAGATTCAATAATTTAGTTTGTTTATGCCAAATATTGCACTGGGGTTGCACTAGTGTATGAAACTCATTTGATTCAATAATCAAACGCTTTGTATGATTTTAATTTTTCATTAGTATGACTGCTAGGTACAATGTGAAAAACATTGTACCTAGTAGTAAAATAAAAAAAAAATCAATATTTCTTTGCAAAAATTGCTAAGACGGATTTTATTTTTATTTTTGTAAGCGTTATTTATAAGTATGTAGGTATCTACATTATAAAGAATGTCTCAAAAAGTTGAATTCGGATCAACTAGATATAATTTTTAACGGAAGCCTCCAATTTTTTTTTTTTCAATTCCTTAACAAAATTTACAATTTTAATCTTTTGCATTTTTAATTAGAACTAGTTGTCTGGAAGGCCCTGTAAAGTCATAAATATTCTTCACTTAAAAGAATGTAGTCGTACTTAAGATATTAAGCTCTTTTATTTCATTTATGACAGCACTGTATATCTTTTAATGATGACACTAAGTAAAATTATTCAAAACTGCTCCCATTTAGACCAATTGGCTAATATTTTTTTTCAAGGCTGATATTCTTGTTTAATATCAAATAAGCTAACACGTGCTGAGTGGGAGTTCATTTCGGGAGACAGATTGTTAAACTGGTTAAAAATAAAACTTTCAAAATTTGTATAGGAGTAAATGTCAACCTTATGTCAAAAAAAACGTGAAAACCGTTTGGTTACGAACAGCAGGCATGCATGTATGGGCAGCTTGAAGGCTATAAATTAGAAAAAAATGTTAAAAGTAAACATTTTGTAAATTTCCAAATGGTTTTAAAAACCTCAAAGACTAATACCGAAAAAGGTATACTAGTTGAAATTCCATTGGATGTACAGTTTTCGAGAAAAATTGAGTTAAAATCGTTTGTTCGCTAAACAGCCACAAGTAGTTTAAAAATTTTTAAACTGAACGGTTACGTTATTCTGTAAAATTTCTCAACTTATTTGCTAAAGTACGTGTGCCGCTTTGATGTAAAAACATTGTAACTCCATTTTTCTCAAAAACGGTACATCCTATGGAATTGCGACTAGTATATCTCTTTTTTGTATAAGACTTTGGGGATCCTTTAAAAATACAGGAAATTGTCACTTTTAATAATTTTTTTCTAATATATACCCCTTAAACTGGCCCCACGCGGATCCTTTCTCTTCGTAATCAAACAGTTTTCATATTGGATTTACTGGTGTACTTTTTAAATTCTTATATTTAACCGATAAATGATACGTATAAATGGAATAATGATACGTATTATTATTGCATTTAAAGCAATGAATGCGTTTCGATAAAAATTAAGTCATCCACCGGCTAAAGGGCGCAATTTGGCATAGTAGATATGTTTCATTTAAATTGATTTCTGATTATTTTCTTGAATGCTGCTATCTGTAATCTTGTTTTTTAGGTTAATTCCGAGGTTAATTGCCTATCCCAGAAAAATGTTCTAGTTAATGAAACCCAAATTTTAGGGGTATACAAGGCAAACGGTCAGATGAGGAAAGGCAATAAGAAAAAAGACTTCTGTTTCTTTTGCGAAAGCTATGTTCTTAATTTCGCTAGACATATTATGAGGAATCATTCATTGGAAACAGATGTACAAAAAATAATATCTTTATCTCCTAAAAATAAAAGAAGAAAAACATTACTCTGTGACCTTAGGAAGAAAGGAAACTTCTTGAATCATAATATTATTCAAAAGCCAATGAGGCATGTAGAAACTACCAGAAAAATTTTACCTTGCAGCAATTGTTTGGGATATTTTTCCGCCAAACAACTGTGGCGGCATAGGACGGCTTGCATGGGAAAAAGTGACAGATCGCATCAAAGCGCAGCTCAAAACCTTCTCGTCAAAAATTTAAGGATAGATAAACAGTTAAGGGAAAATGTATTCCCGAGGATGAGGGCGGATGATATATCCTTTAAGGCAAAAAAGGACGAACTTATTTGTGCCTTTGGCAGCAGGTACTTTAAAAGCCATAGAGAAAAACATTTTATTAATGTAACATCTCGAAAGATGAGAGAGCTAGCGAGATTGCTTATAAAAATTCTGAAACTGAAACCTGCAATAAATAATCTCTTTGATGCATTAAAACCTCAAAATTTTGGAATTCTCGTTTCCGCAACAAAAATCGTTGCCCAATATAATGAGGAGAGCGAATTCTTTGAATCGGCATCAACTGCATTAAATTTGGGCACAGCCATAAAACAGTGCTGCCAAATTGCTATTGTTTTTGTTCTTAAGAGGAAAAATGTGCACTCAACGCTTTCTGCTGCAGAAGCTGAAAGTGATTTAAAAACATTGATCCAGTTGATAGATAGTGAATGGCGCTTCGAAATTTCAAGTCAGGCTTCCAGTGACCTTAACACTAAAAAATGGAATAAGATATCCATGATACCTCTTGCGAGCGATTTAAAGATAATGAAAGAGTATTTAATATCCACAGCAAATTCTGCAGTGAGTCAACTTCAAACCAATTCTGAAGACAAGGCAGCCTACACTACGTTATTAGAAACTATATTCTGCAGAGTTCTTCTGCTTAATAGAAAACGACCAGGTGAGTTACAAAGGTTCCCTCTACATTTATATGAACGAGCCGAAGAACATCCTAAACACTATGAAGAGTTTTCGGAATTAATCACCCCATCTGAAAAAATTCTAATCCAAAGATTTAAGCGAGTAGTTGTACGTGGTAAAAGGTACCGCGGTGTACCAGTTCTTTTCAGTTCTGATGTTCAAGAACATATTGATATTTTACTAAGATATCGGGCAAACTTTATGTGCAAAAACAGTTGTTATTTATTTGGAAATCCCAATACAATACAACCCATTTGTGGTTATAAAATAATCACAAAATATGCAAAATTATCTGGTACTAAAAACCCTTAAGCCATTACAGCAACTAAATTACGCAAGCACCTGGCTACTATGACCCAAGTTTTAAATATGTCAGATAATGACATTGAACAGCTATCTACATTTATGGGTCATACTGTAAATGTCCATCGCGGTTCATATCGCCTACCAAATGATCTTTATCAAACGGCAAAAATTTCGAAGTTGTTGCTGTTAATGGAAAAAGGACAAGCAGCACAGTATAAAGGGAAAAGCCTGGATGAGATAGATATCGATTTAGATATTGACCTTGCTGACAATGATGGTGAAGAAGATGAGACTGAACCTATATTGCAACATTCAGATTTATTACCAGGAACCAGTCAAAGTTTATCAGATACACTAGTTTCATCGACTTCGACTCTACCAAAAAACAAACAGAATGTTGCTAAAACATCGAAAAGAACATTAATTCCTTGGACAGATGAACAGAAAAAAGTCACTCTTGAGTTTTTTGCATCTCATATAAAAAAGAAAGTTCCACCTAAAAAAAACGAATGTTTAATGCTCAAGGAAAAATATACGACTCTATTAGAAAATAAGGACTGGCTCAAGATCAAGGTATTTGTGCAAAATCAATATGTAAAAAAAAAATGACGTAGGTAACTTATTGTAACATAAACTTTGTCTCTTATAAATTCCTAATAAACTGAATTAGTTCACATTTTTTGTTATTTGTTACATAAAAATTTATAGATTCTTACATATAATAAATTCTCTTTACTTTACTTTATTATTAACACTTAACTACATCTCATCAAACCTGTTTGATTATATTTTTCTTTGAAGAAGAAAATGACTTTTAGTGCAAGTGCCTAACTCTATTTCGATAACAAAGAATTACAACAATAGTATTGTTCACACTTTATTTGTGCAATACTCTAAACTCTTTTTCAATTACGTAGTTGCCACTAAAAAATTAAAAAACATAGTTGAATAAAAACTCTTACCACCAACATCTGTCAGTAACTGTTTTTTCAAACTGTGCTTTTTTTTTAATGTTTCTGATATAGTAGAAACTATTGGGTTAAGCAAAATATAAGTTTCAAAAATTCACTCTTGACCTATCCTTTTGCTGCAATCTGAGTTCTAGTTTTTTATCTTACAAAATAAAAAAAAACATGTTTATTAATTAACATCAATTATTATTATTAGCATTATCAATTAACAATAATTTTTTTAAGAATAAAACATCAAAAACAGGTTAGGTAAATGTGTAGAGGTTATACAAAATGTGTACATTAATTTTAATGGCATGATCCTTAGCATATTTTAAAATGAAAAATTCCTGTGAACATTATATCCTAAAATCCTTCACAAAAATTGGGAGATATACTTTATTTAAATACAGAGTGTTTGAATATGGGTGTACGAAATCTTTTTTCGGTGGAAATCAAACATTTTAATTATTATACTGATGTTTTGATGCAATGTCAAAGTCGTAATTTAAAATTGAATATTTCTATTAAAAACTGCACTAGAAACAATTACAAACAGTCTTAGTTAGGCATTATAAAAAAAATTGTACGTTCGCCCCTGGTGATTCTAAAAATGTTTAACCCCCACTGAAAAATCTTTATCTTACTTACATGCAAATTCCGTAAATTCGGATACAATATGTGGGTATATTTAACGGTTTTTGTGACTTTAAAATCTTTCTTGATACCCTGTATCCCGGAAACGAAGCATTTTAGGACATAAGTTCATAGAGACTTTTCATCTTAAAATATGCCAAGGAGCATGTCCTTAAAATTATGCATTCGTTTCGCATACATCCTGTATAGTTGTAGAGTGAATCTTCTTTGCTACCTCCAAATGTTAGCATTTTATTATTTTTTGCATATTGGTATTAATACGATAATATAAGCAATATTATAACTCTATCAAAATTTATTTGTTAAATAAAATAATACTTAGAGACAAATATGTATTGAATTTAATTAAATATCAGTAACTATTTCTAAAATTTTAATTAACAAAAAAAAATACTCGGCTTGGTACAGGTTCTGTCACGCTGGCTATGATCACCCTGTGATATCTGAAACAAATCAATTTCTACTGTACAAAACGGTTTGTATACTTATTATCTTAATTTTTCCATAAGTAAGTATATACACACCTTAACTCTTAGGAATTAATCGAGTAGAACCTCAAAATTAAAATTATTTTAGTTATACAGTGTTTTTGAATTTTGTGGACAACACTCCACCACAAATTCCCGAACCAAAATTTAGCTCAACTTACCTCTATCTAAAAATGTACATGCATACTTAATTAGTATGCTTTTTCAGTACCTATTATGACCAACCCGATAAAAGAAATAGTTGAAACCTAGTAATATAAATTTTATTGTATTTTTTAATGTAACAGAATTATAGTTTATCTAAAGTTAATTGAACTTGAGAATTTTACCAGAGGTAGATCGTTTTGAAAGGTACGACAATAGGTTTAAATACAAGCAGCGCCGTCATTTAGCACGAACGGTCAAATTCAATTGACTTTAGATAAACTATACGCAAATAAATATTATACCTTGTTTATAAAGTGACACACGAGGTAACGCCTATATAAATTCATTTTAATCTAACCAATAATTTTCATGGAAAATCCTGACAGGTCGATTTTTTATTTTAAAATCCCGTATTTCCAAATAATGTTCAATATACAAGGTAATTCATATTGGATTAATGACGTCATCGACATCTTTTAAACTGAACATCAGATATGTTTTTCAATTTTTAAATTCTCCAAGAAGAGCCGATTCCAAAAATGTATCATACATAAGGTGACATCGCTGACACAAAATTTAAAGAACAAAAATTCACGAAAAAACTACAATCATTTTTGATCGTTGTTAGGACATTACTGAACAAACAAAATTTGAGAAAGGTAAAGTCGAACAATAATTTAAAAATGCTCTCATCAAAATTTCCATATTTTCCCTTTCAATTAAATGCAGTTTTGTATGGGCGATTAAACAACATAGAGTAATTAAAACTTATAACTAATTGATAAAAAATATATGTTCTTTAGGCAGAAATTAATAAAACCTAACTTTTTTTTGTCAATTCAATTAACACTTCTTTTTTCATAGTAAAAATTATGTCTACAACAACAAATTTGAATAAAATATAAAATTAACCCGTCTAAGGACGTTCACTGAAATAAATATTTCTATTTAAAAATGAATGCATGCATTTGCGATCACTATGTAAATTTAGTCCTTTGTATGATATATTTTAGGAAGTCATTCTTCATGGAAAATCAAAAACTCAAGAAATATATCGGATGCTCAATTTAAAAAAAGTGACATGATTATTCCAATACGAATCAGGCTATACAGGGTGATCCATTAACGGTATCGAGCGGCTGTGTATAGAAAACTAGACGTGCTACGATTATGGGGTAAAAAATTTATCAACAAATACAACCAAAAGAAATTGAATTAAAATATTTTCAAGTTTGTAACTTCACCGCTAGGGGGCGCAACTGCTATAGTGTTACCGAAAATTGTCGGTTTTTCGAAATTTCGCTTATATAACCTAAGTTACAAATACATTTTTTAGATACACTGTTAAACCCTTCACAAGTTTGGTTTTAACTTTTTTTTTGTTATTACCCTAGCAACATCAATATGAAGGACATTATCTTGAAATTTTTAAATTGTCATAAATTCTAAATGCCTTAATCGATTTCAATAAACGATGGCTCATTTTAAAGGACCATTAATACAATTTATTTTTGATATAGAAAAAAAAATTATTTTCCTGCGCATCGGTAGATAAAAGATGATAAAAGTTTTGTAATTGTCTCCGTTTACTAAAAAATTTAAATGCAACGATATAGGTTTTTTTTCATGGCTTGATAGACCATTCACTATGGAAAACAAATACACAAACCGGAGGTCGATATCTTTTTTCATTTTCAAGTTATTGCTAAAATAGTGAGGTTGTGCTAGAACATCCTCTTTTATTTAGTTCTCTAAATAACATTGACATAATCCGAGCCAAAATTAAATTATAAAACTATAACAATCTTATCCCTAAAAAGAATTATTGCTTTACTTTGAAATTTTTTTGTGACTGCAATATTTCATTTTTTATTAATTCATACTATGGTAATAACAAAATAAAAGTTCAAACAAACCTTGTGATGGGTTTAACAGTGTATCTAAAAAATGTATTTTCAACTTACGTTATATAAACGAAATTTCAAAAAACCGACAATTTTCTGTAACACTATAGCAGTTGCGCCCCCTAGCGGTGAAGTTACAAACTTGAAAATACTTTAAATCAATTTATTTTGTTCGTATTTGTTAATAGATTTTTTATCCCATAATCGTAGCACGTCTAGTTGCATACAGGGTCGGAAAGTCCCCATGGTTCATCGGCCGTTACGTGAGAGCTATAAATAAAGTCATAGAAATCCGTGCGATAGAGAAAGATGGCTATAATTAAGGCGTCTAATAATCACCGCCCATTTCGCCCTTCCACAAATAAGATCCATTTCTTATTTGAGGAAGGGCGAAATGGGCGGTGACTATTAGACGCCTTCATTATAGCCATCTTTCTCTATCGCACGGATTTCTATGACTTACTTTATCGCTCTCACGTAACGGCCGATGAACCATGGGGACTTTCCGACCCTGTTCATCATATCAAGTCAGAAGAGTTTTTTACATTAAATAACAAAAAAAATAATTACAGCCAACTTTTGCAGAAATTATTAGAAAATTAGTTATTATCACATTAGAAATTACGTTGTTTTCAACGTTTTCCGCTAAACTATATAATTTCTCAATTCGATGCAATAGGGTATTTAAAAAAATGTGACTGAATCGTTTGACGCTCATGCTCCATAGAATCATTTTTTCTTATTAATGTCCTATCAGTTTCCGAGTTTATGGTACTTTTTTCAACACGGATTGTGTAAGTGTTAACAGTAGCGATGACAGGATTTTTGTATGAATCTTACGTTAGTAATTTCAATCATTTTTGATAATTAAAGTGCTTGGAATTTGATAATAAAATCCACTGTGTAAGTCAATTGTTCCAACAGGCGCCGTCCCTTGGCGTTCTTCGGTGATACAGTATACTCAGCACCATGCGCGCCGTCTATGAGGGGGCAGGGCTATTTTCCAAATATATTCAAGGAAAAAGAGCCAAAAATTATTTTAAAAGAACACTTCACGTTTTCTCAATACCACTTTGATGGGTATATTTCCAACGCGTCTGCCTGATAAAAAATGCAGCAGGACGCTGTTACACCAGACGAAACATTCTACCTAAATTAAAAAACGTAAATTTTCCTTATGTTTGCTTTGTCATTTTTTTATTAGAGAAGGTAATTGTTCTGTTAAAAGGTTTTGTTCTTGTTTTTTTGTTTAAGTTTAAATAAAATGACCATAAAAACTATACTTTGTTCTTATGTCCGAGAGTAAATCGTACATTCCAGGTTCGTACTTTGTTTTCACATGACATGAAAATACGGAAAATACCGAGCATTTTTTATCTACAATTAAAAATCAAGATTATAATCCCACAACTTACAAATAAGGTTAATTTAAATGGGATATGTTTGTTTTAAAACCAAAATAACAAGTCAAAAACTAGAAAACAAGCATGAAGTTTTCGCAGTTCTAAATCCTAAAATAAAATTGCTTTAATTTTTATGCTTTCATTTTGTTCATTTAAATTGAATTATTATTATATTCTGTTATTTTGTATATTACAAAATCACCAATTAAAATATATCCTCCGTCATTTGTTTATATTTGTGCCTGGTTTTTATGTTATAGATATACGATTTACTTATGGACTTAGCAGGATATTTTATATTCTGATATTCTAAATTTGCTCCCTCTTGGATTGAGTGTTAGCGGCGCCCATGCCAAGCACCGACTGCTTATAACATCGATACATTACACTATTCAGCCTGTATCCCCGTTGTGATCGCCTTGTTGAAAAGTAGTTTCTGATTGGTCTACGTTGATTATGTCGGCGGGTTCTTTTTTCTAAGTCATGCTTGATGTCTTGCTGTCTGCGTCTACTGACCTCCACTGCTTGTGCTTGTGCTCGTAGACTTCCCTGTTCGGCGCGGACCACGACCACTCACCTGTCTCAGTTCTATTGTTCCCTCGTTTNTCTGAGTTCCAGAATTTAAAAGTACATAAAAATACCACTGTTGCGATTGCGACGTCAGAAACACGATTTTCCGGCCCCTAAGGGGTCATTTTCCCGGTCCCAAACGGGAGATTCCAGTTGGCCATAAACTTTTCGAGCACAGTCTGAGTTCCAGAATTTAAAAGTACATAAAAATACCACTGTTGCGATTGCGACGTCCGAAACACGAATTTCCGGCCCCTAAGGGGTCATTTTCCCGGTCTCAAACGGGAGATTTCAGTTGGCCATAAACTTTTCGAGCACAGTCTGAGTTCCAGAATTTAAAAGTACATAAAAGTACCACTGTTGCGATTGCGATGTCCGAAATACGATTTTCCGGCCCCTAAGGGGTCATTTTCCCGGTCCCAAATGGGGAATTTCAGTTGGCCAATAAACTTTTCGAGCACAAATCCAACTTTGGCTTTAGAATGCATCTTCGACCTCGCCTCATTCCGGAATCCATCTTTCAGGCCCTATAGAGGGGCCCCTGGGGCCAATTCCAGACGTGGAGGGCCATTTCTGGGCTCGGGATCGGATTCAGCGTCGAAAAATACATAGGAATACATATGTCCGACCCACAAGTCCAAACACTTTTTTTTTGTGGGGCTGTGTAATCATCCACGTTGGAATTAGTTCTAGAAAAATGCATATTGAAAATAGTTTTTTACCATCCAAATTTGACTGAGGATATTTTTGTTGAAAGTCATTTCTGTGAATTAAGTTTTGAATCTTCAACCACCATGTTATTCTCCTCAAAGCATATCACCCACATATTTTCATTAAGCTGATTATTATTAGGTAAATATAAAAATAAATTCGTAAATAATTTGTTATCCTTATAATAATTGAGCTTTGTAAATAGTTATAAATACAAAAT